AACTCTTTTTCATCATCCTTCAGCTTCAGATTCACAAACATCATGATCAGGTTTACCAAAATGGAAGCATTGCAGCAAGGGGTAGCCTTCATTTAAAGGTGACATTTTAAGCTCCTTCTCCCACATGGATGAAAACGGACCTGACATGGGCATGAGTTGAGGAGTGTTTTTTGGTGGACAGGACGGCAAAATGCATGATTTTCAAACCTAAATTTGGGCCCAAAACAGAAATGATCCAACAAGAACAAGAACACTGCCTTTTGGGGACACAGATTCCAAAGGACGAACGAGCTCAGCTCAACGTGCCTATTGTGCATGATTTTGTCATATTTTGCCTATAAGTTAAGTTCATGTTATATATCATTTTGTCATGTACAATTTTATCTTCAGAGGTCAAATTACACCGTCCCATTGTCAAAGCTTAAGAAAACCGATCCCAAAGCTCAGCTTGGAATTTGCCAAGGCACTCTGAGAAGCAACAGAACTGCGACTCGACACCGACCCGTCACACGGACAGCCAATGCTGCGGATGCACCTAGCTTTGTGCAAAATGTATGGCCAGATCACGAGGTTTGTTTGGGTTTAGATGGTTTAAGGAACAAGTGGAACCGAATGAGCACTGCGAAATTGTTTGGCAATGTCTGGCATGGTTCTCACTGGGATGTTCATCCACCATTTGGACTGAAAGTAGTCTCACTAAATGCGCCTTTTCGGGCAAAATGTCTGCGGAATCACTTTGTGCATCTGACTCTTCCCAGCCCCTTGGTCTGGGAGAGACCTAACAACTACAGCTTTGGCGAGGTGGCACAGCTGGAGGAGTGACATTTACACCTCAGGGCGTATGACGTATGACTTTTCTGGCACAATCTCAAAACCTCATGCCACCTGGCCATAATCGAGTGGCTGTGACCCCAAAAGGTCGTTGAACGTTGACCCAGAGGGGGTCAACTATGCCAAAAAAACGCCAGTGTCTCGCAAGACTGCGGGAAAAACCAGTACTGAACTTGGCTCACAGCCCCGAGACATCCAAATTGCTACTGAATCTGTTGCAAGCATCTGCAAACTTTCCTGCACTCCCAGAAAGGTCGAAAGAACCCATCATTCTTTCATCCGGTTCTCTAAATTGTCTTGCACGATGCAGGTGCTGATCTTTTCCAAGATCATCTAAGATCCCTTTGAGATCTGGAAATGGCCCAAATTGGCCGATTGAATGTGACGAGTTGTGCACCTCCCACGGCTAAGATAGGCACCGAAAACGGGCCTCAGAGTGGAGCCCTTCTAGGAGCCTGGCTGCATGTTGGACCGGACACAAAGTCTGTCACGTAAAGTTGAACACCTCCCCACAAAATTGTATGTGCAAAGCCATCAGCTGCAATTGACCGTGGTCTTCTCAATCAACCGTTGGTGTTTACCCAAAAAAATCAGCCAGAAAACAAATTCTCCGAAACAAATGGAAAAAACCAGGAGTGGACTAGCATAGTCACAACAGAACACAACAGCTCAAATTCAGAGATCACTTCCACCACCGTCACGCGAAGTCGATTGCACTTCGATCTTCAAACTCAATCAGGGTTCACACTGCGGCCCTCACCTCCGTCCAGCGGCGACATGTGCGAGAGCTTCTCAAAGTTCTGGATCTTCAACATCCTGCACCCCAAGTGCTCAAATGAAGCGCCAAACTGTGCATTTTGAAGTTGCAGAGTGCTTTCATGGCGGCTGGTGGGTCATTGAGCAGTGATGGGGCGGGCACGACCCAGGCAGGTAGCATTCATCAAAGGATTTGGATTTGTTCCTTCACGAATTTACTGAAATTGTTGCAAGACTGGAAGGAGATCAAAGGAGAGCAGAGGAGAGGAGAAAAGAGAGGAGAAGGGAGGAAATATAGGTCCGGAAACATCTCTGACCTCTGGAGGCGTTCTGAAGTGGCTCCTTGAATGGACAAAAGCTTACGGAATCAAAAAACAGATATGCCCATTCTCTACGCAAGAGTATCCATGTCAAAACCAGAGAGAGAGAGAGATATATATATATATTTACATAGACAATCTGTATTGGCAAGATTCAGCAGAAGAACCTCAATATTATATATTTTTTGGGCGTAGCCTAACCTCTGTGACAGTCGGAAAATGATGAAAATGGGTTTCCCATGAAAACCTCTTCAAAAGGAGCACAAAGAAATTCATTCATTCTTCCCATTTTCTTGCATGCAAAAATTGTGCTCTAGCTTGTGAAAGCTGTTACAGACAATGGGCCAGACCCAATATATACCGTTTCAGGTTGTTCACACTTCAAGGCTGCCTGGGTAGACCTGTTTGAAATCTCCCCTGCCTTAAAGATTCTGCCCAATTACAGTTTCCCCGGTTGTGGCTCCTGGCTGGATCTTCGGACGGCTTCCACGAAGCCCCTCAGCACTGAGGGCCTCACTGAGGGCGACGCTGAGGGCATCATCTTCACCTCCATCTGTGCCAGGAGACGCTGAGCTTGCTCTGCATAGGGGTGGCCATGTTGCACAAAGATCTTGACAGCACGCTCCACCAACTCCTTTGCTTGGCAAAGGTTTCCCAGAGAGTCATGAGCTCCGCCGAGATTGAACACAGTAATCGCTACTTCTGGATGATCTTTCCCGTAGTGCTGCTCGTCGATTATCAGGGCACGCTCGAGCAGGTCCTTCTTCTGTCTGTAGTCGCCCAAGCTTCCATGCGCACTGCCCAGATTTGCCAAAGTCACTGCTACTTGGGGATGATCTTTCCCGTAGTGCTGCTCTTGGATTCTCAGGGCACGCTCGAGCAGGTCCTTCTGCTGCTTGGAGTCGCCTAAGCTTCCATGCGCAATGCCCAGACTTGTCAAAGTAATCGCTACTTCGGGATGATCTGTCCCGTAGTGCTGCTCCTCGATTCTCAGGGCACGCTCGAGCAGGTCCTTCTGCTGTCTGTAGTCACCCAGGTCTCCATGCGCATTGCCCAGATTTTCCAAAATCTTGGCTACTTCGGGATGTTCTTTCCCGTACTGCTGCTGGTCGATTCTCAGGGCACGCTCGAGCAGGTCCTTCTTCTGTCTGTAGTCGCCCAAGCTTCCATGCGCATTGCCCAGATTTGCCAAAGTCACTGCTACTTGGGGATGATCTTTCCCGTAGTGCTGCTCTTGGATTCTCAGGGCACGCTCGAGCAGGTCCTTCTTCTGTCTGTAGTCACCTAAGCTTCCATGCGCATTGCCCAGACTTTGCAAAGTCACTGCTACTTCGGGATGTTCTTTCCCGTAGTGCTGCTCGTTGATTCTCAGGGCACGCTCGAGCAGGTCCTTCTGCTGCCTGGAGTCGCCCAAGCTTCCGTGCGCAATGCCCAGATTTGTCAAAGTCTTGGCTACTTCGGGATGTTCTTTCCCGTAGTGCTGCTCGTCGATTATCAGGGCACGCTCGAGCAGGTCCTTCTTCTGCCTGGAGTCGCCGAAGCTTCCATGCGCATTGCCCAGATTTGTCAAAGTCACTGCTACAAGGGGATGTTCTTTCCCGTAGTGCTGCTCGTTGATTCTCAGGGCACGCTCGAGCAGGTCCTTCTGCTGCCTGGAGTCGCCCAAGCTTCCATGCGCAATGCCCAGATTTGTCAAAGTCTTGGCTACTTCGGGATGATCTGTCCCGTAGTGCTGCTCCTCGATTCTCAGGGCACGCTCGAGCAGGTCCTTCTGCTGGCCGTAGTCACCCAGGTCTCCATGCACACTGCTCAGATTTCCCAAAGTTGTGGCTACGTTTAAGTGGTCTTTGCCAAATTTCTTCTCCTTTTTCTCCAACAAATCCTTTCCAATTTGTTGGGCTTTGGCTGCAAATCCAGTTTGAAGGAAGACAGCAATCAGATTGCCTGCGCTGAACATGGTGTCTACACTTTCCTCCCCGAAAGTGTTCGCGGCGAAGTTGTAAGCCAATTGTCGAAAAGGAAGCTCGCACCACGCCTGGTGTTCCTGTTCCTCTGCAGTCTCGGCCATCTTCTCAAGTTGCGTCAAGGTGCCTTGCATTGTGGGATCTTCTGCATCCAAGTTCCCCTGGATCGTGCGGCCCAAAGCCTCTCCGAAGAGTTGCCTGCAAAGCTCGACATCTTCCATGAGCTCCTCCCATTTGACAATTCTGCCAGGCGAATTGTCGCCACTGGGCACGTAGACGTGCACAAGCTCCGGCTTCCGTATGTAACCGAATTCCCACCGGCAGGCTTTGGACCTCAACAAGTCAGCAAACAACATCAAACACATTCGAATCCTTTCACATCCCAAGTACTTACTCCCTACTCCAACAAAAAAAACCGTCCAACCCAGAAGCTGTAAATACGAATCGGTCAACTGCAAAATGAGGAGTCCATGCTTGGTTTCATTGGCGGCCTCTTTGTAGTGCTTGAACCAGGGAGGATATATCCCGGCTGCCGGGGCTGATCCAGGTCCGAAAAAATCGGGTTCCAGCGTCTCATCTCTTGCGCTTCGTTGATGTGGAGCCCCATCCCTAGTGACTTGTCGGTGCAGAAGGTCACCGGTCCTGAGTTGTTATGAGTTGTTCAAACAACGATTCGTGCAATGCAAGAGGCGAGAAGGTATACTATGTTTACTGTAAACTGGAACAACATGAGGCAAAACAAGTGCATGACTGTGAATCCTCCGGACGGATTCCAACGACATGACGGCAAGAAGCGAAGACCCCCATCATAGTTGACTCCCGTCTTCAGTTCGTGCAGGATCCGATTGTTTTCATCTTTGTCTGGACTTGCAAAGGAGATCAGGAAATCGGCATCAGTCGCAAGTTTCTCGCCTTCTGGTTCTCCTCGTGCGTTGTAGCCGATGCACATCCACTTCCGCTGCTGTCGCAGCTTCATCTGCGCTTCCAAATCGTTCATTGTCAAGGCATCTGCCAAGTCTTCATCCTCTGCAGCACCTTCAACACCTTCGAGTCTTCGAGCGATGCTGCGGTTGTTGTAGGCCTCAGCCAACTCCTCATCCAGCTCGATGGCTCGAGAGAAATCTTCCAAAGCTTCGTGGCGCCGTCCCTGGCAAAGGTGTGTCCAGCCGCGGTCGTTCAAGGCCTTTGCCTCTCCAAATATCAGAAAACTACAAAATCTGGCAACAGGAGACCAGCAAAATCAAGCAACTCATGGCAAAACTATAGGAGTGCATTGACATGTGTACAGCACCGATCTCTCTTTTATCCAAAGAACCCTGTGCAAAGAAGAACATCGGGTGAATGACATAGACATAGGCAAGTGAAAAGCTTCAGTTGAAAGGGACCTGATTTGTTTGCACAGCACCTCTCTTTACAGAGCCTAGAGAATCCCTTGATGCTCAGCAGCCACTGCCCCGTTGAAATAGCCTCAGTTGGCTCCATCTCCGACTCGCACCTCAAGTTCCCCATGCGAAGAACGGGTGAGGGTCGTAAGGTCTGGGCTGGTCACCCCCAGAAAGAACATTAAAAACGTGAAAACTGTAATGAAAGTGTAGAAGTTTGCAAGCTCCTAATGGTACTGTGGTCAAGCATCTTCTTTTGCTCTCAACAACTTCACGTGGCACGCGTGATTGGATTAACTTTTCCACAGATACGTTGCTATTATGTAGTTGACAAGGAAAACGGAGGAAATGGTAAACATACTCTTTTGACCTTATTAACTACGGGTAAGACATGTGCAATGCAGGACATGATGGTGATGCTGGATGCTACGACATGACAGTCTTGGAAAACTCCACATGCTAGCTGCTTCTTAAATTGATAGTGGCCAGAAACACTGAACTCAAAACATGTGCCGCTTCTTTGAGGTCAGCATCCGCAAAGATACCCAAAGTGCAAATTCTAAGATGTTCCTTCTTCTGTGCCATGATGGCTTGTTTCTAGGCAAGACGACCAAGGGACCCTCCGTGGAGATTCGACTAGGTTTGTGCAATCTGGGGTGCTCATACTACAACTCTCGATGATGATGATGACGACGACAACAACGACACTGTCAGCAAACCATCACTGACGCACAACTAGAAGTCAACCCTCACTCCTCTGCAGGGTCAGGTTGTTTGACCCGGACGCCCCTATAACAAAGCACAAAGGTTCGAGTCGTCAATTTGAGTATCTAGGAACTGCTGTGTCTAGTCTAGTAAAATGTGGCAAACGTACCATCTGATACAGAAACGATTCCAGCAGAGATATGAGAGATGTTCGGTGGCCTATTGTAGGCTCCCATAGTTGCTGTGGTTGGACATTGGACTGAGGAGAAACTTGATGCAGCAATGGAACGAGAAACAGCAATGGAAACATCACATAAAACCTGAAGGGTTGGTTGGTTGTCTCTGAGTCTCTGAGCGTTGCACAGTGCGGAGCGAGGCGACACGCCACCGACCAGCTACAGGGTTGGAAAAGCCAGGGCAGCTGCGGCGTTCGGCTGGCACAGCTGTGGATTCTTTGAGCAACACCAAAAGCCAGGGGTCAACATGGGTCAACTGTCGAACAGGATCTCTGAAAAACCTGTTTTAGCCACCATTCGCAACCATTTTCCAGGTTTGCTGTCCTTTGCAGCTTGCCTGGCTAACAGCCCACCATTCAGTGGGACCCTGGGGGACGCTGGGAGACCCGCCCTGATCTGATCAAAACCATTCAGTCAATGAGCAGCTTTTGGTGATCTCCATCTGAATCCTCAGGTCCTGAAGCCGTCACTGAAGCCTCATCAGCCTCACTTTCTGAATCGTCCGACTCTTCAGGTTTGCCGGCCCTTGAATCGGGCTTGTCACGACCATCAAGGTGACCTTTCAAGGATGTGCCTGGTGGCCAAACAAATTTCCTCTTGTACACTTCGGGCCAGCTCTCCCTCCGCAGAATTCCACGTTTGCAGTCGAAATGGATCATTGTTGCCAAGCATAAGTGCCCAAGGAAGCAGGTGCCATACACCCACGAAGCTCCAAATTCATAGCCATACTGCCAAAGGAAACCGTCTTTGTTGAGAATGGATTCTGCCTTTGCGTCCCAAAAGTCTTGAAAGGCAACGTAGGCAATCACCAGCACTTGGAAGCAAAAACACAGCACTAGGTAGCAATCAAGCTTTGTAAGGTATGGTTTGACCGGCAGCCATGCAGCAAGAATTATCTTGTAAGCCACTGTCGTTAAGAGAAGAGTCAATAGGCAGTCCATCTTCTTGTGACCATCTCTGTATGTGCCGGTTCCACGGGTGAAGGCCACACCTGTGCCCATTGTGAATAGCCACACGAACAGACATACATTGATGGTGTAGAACCTTGGGTTCCTCTCAACATAGATGTGCAAATCAAACCTGGCACGACTAAACTCTCCATCCTCTTTGATGACCTGTAGATGTACCTTCGGTGCATCTTCCACTGTCCACTGAACTGGAAGGTTGCGGTCTTTCCTCGCGTCGACAGTCTTTAAATCCCCAGCTGTTGCAAGCAGGGACTCAAACTTCATCATGTAGGTTGGAATCTCGCCAACAACCTTGCAAAATGATCCAAATGCAACATGAAACTTATTGTAAATCATCGTTCATACACAGCTTAAATGAGTGCAATGATCAAAGGTTGTCAAAGACCGATGATTTGAATGTGATGACACCCCGGCCTGGATGCGCAACAGCTGCCGATCGAACGGCATATTCTCCAAATGAAGGCGGTCGCTGAACGTGGCCTGCATCTTCCACCAGCGTGTGACCTGAGGGCTGAAGAGCTGATGCAGCATGGTATGGACATCCATGCTAGCCATCAGCAATTCTGCAAAGCTAGCGGGGGTTGTATGGTCTGTCATAGTCATATCTCAACGTTTGGATATGTTTGGATGCCTGCCTGGCACATATATAAAGAAGTTGGAAAAAAAGGCACATGCATGACATGCATACATGATTTAGGGAAAGAGGCAGGTCCTTTAATTCCATCTACTGTACGAACGGTCTGATGAGTCAAGGACGTCGCCCTGTACACCCCGCTGGCCAGGACCTAAAAACGAATAAGCAAACCTGCTGACAGATCTTGGCTTGCATGCTGCGTGCTTCTGCGTGAAACTCGTCGTATGAACAAAACATTCTGAAGAACCCTCAAGAATTCTTCAGCCAAGAAACATGACCACCATTTTCGTCAAAGAAATTAATCTGCTGATCTTCGCACATGAGTTCATGCTGAGTGACCACCACATTCATCAAGGACCACTTCTTGAGTGCGACAGGCAACAAGGTTAGCAGTCAAGTGCACAGATCGGCTTGTAATGATCACAGTCTATAACATGCACCTTCTACTGTAGTGGTTCCGGAATGCTTTAATTCTATATGCATGAGAGAAGCTCTGGCCCTATGGCGATGATCAAGCGTCGTAAGTATCTGACACCTTCATACCGAAGGAACCTTCTGCACTTCAACAATCTATTCTGGGACCTGCTAGGGAAGCCTGAAGAATTCAGAAGCACCAAACTTCTCTGCTGTGCAAGCAAGACTCCAAAGCCACGTGGTCTTGCCAATTGTGTCTTTCTGGAAGACTCACACTCAGCAGGTCCTTTTTGGGCACTGAAAGATATTCGCCATACTCCACTTGCACTTTAACTTTGCAAATAGACTTTTCCTCTTTGTCGTGTCCCGTGTCGTTTTGCGCCATGTCCCGTGTCGTTTTGCGCTCTTTGCCTTGGTAAAAACCGCATCAAACGTGCGAACTACCTCAGTAATGCCAAAATGCAAAACAGAAACACAAGAAAAGGCACAGCTGAACAGTGAATGATAGCCAAAGATCGACGGACACCGAGGACAACCTTCTGCTTTTCAGAGTCTCCAGGTTCATAACCCAAGATGTGTGCTTCGACCGTCACGACTGAAGTTGTCGGACCTTCAGTCTCTAGGTACTTGATGATTTGCCAGGTGGTGATCAAGGTTGGATCCACATAATCGAATTCCATCTTGAAGGTTGCAGTGAAGGTCTCTTTGACCTGGTCAATCTCAACAATGTCCAGAGCCTTAAAAAAAGGGCACTGGCTTGAAAGCTCATGGTGGCAAGTGTATACCTACACTACACTACAAAGTTTACACTTCCTATGCTTTCCATGGGTTGTATGACATTGTTGCAGTGCGCTTGTCTTGTTTCAGTGCTAAGTATGGAGCTTTCACCCTCACTCTGACCACTTTGGCATCTGGTTCCTTCAGGTGCCTTTTCTTGTAGGCCTCTGTGTAGAACCTCTGGTAGTCATGGCCTTCGTACTGTTGCACATTGACTTTGAACTCAGGGGAGCGATTCGAGCTCAACCAAAAATCAAAATCCTCCGGCTGAGCAGGCTCCCTTTTGGTGGTTTCTGGGCACCACAATGGATAGTATTTCGTCAACATGGGCAGCGCCAGATTTCACCCTGCAGTTACCAGCAGGGCAGCATCAGGCTCGTTTACAGTGCCAAGAGCTACAAGAGCCAGCTTCCAAGGGCGAGTGGGCAGATGTCATCACACTCGTCACAAAAAATCTCACTGCCACAACGCCAGATCAGAATGTTTACAAATACGGCCATAAATATGGCCGGCAAAACTGGTTTACCCCTAAAAATGAAGAGTCTTTTGTGGGCGGCTAAGCACCCCACTGGCTTGATCCACACCCAACTGATGGCCAGCAAGTGCACCCCTTTTCTTCGGACGCGCTATGTTCGATTTGCCTTGATTCAAGGACGCCAATCACATAGATACTACCTGAGACACTTCTGCATGGCTACCGGAAAATCGTCATCCAAGAATGTCTCAAGCTGATGTTGATGGATCATTCCAAGCAAATGGACCAAAGGAATTAAACGGCATCACCAAATATATTCAAAACATGGCCACATACAATTGCCTTGCACACATACCAAATCCTCACTTCCGTCACGGTTGTCCAGCACGTTGGAGTCCAACCATGCCAGCAGTTTGAATGATCACTTCCAGCAGTCGAAAACTTAGTTTTCAAAATGTTCTGAAAATGTTGAATGTTCGTCACTGTACCCTAAGGCTAGGAAACGTGGAGGTGGGCTTTCAGGTCGCGGACCGCTTCC